TCACTCTATCGCCCAGACTGGAGTGCAGTGGCCACTCCGGCCACCACAGCCTCAACCTGCTGGGCTCCGGCGATCCTTCTGCCTCAGCTTTCCAAGTAGCTGGAATTGTAGGCGTGTGCTACCACGCCCGGCTAATTTTTTGATTTATTGTAGAGATGAGGCCTCACCAAGTTGCCCAGGCGGGTCTCGAACCCATGCGCTCAGGCAATCCACTCACCTCAGCCTCCCAAAGGCATGGGATTATAGGCTGAGCCACTGATCCTGGCTGATTTTTTTTTTTTTTTTTTTGTAGAGATGGAAGTCTAGCTATGTTGCCCAGACTGGTCTCAAACTCCTGGGCTCAAACAGTTCTCTTGCCTTGGCCTCCCAAAGTGCTGGGATTACACGAGTGAGCCACTGTGCCCGGCCCCTAGGGAAGAGTTTCCTTTTTTTTTTTGAGTTGGAGTCTCACTCAGTCGCCCAGACTGGAGTGCAGTGGCCGCTCCTGGCCACCGCAGCCTTCCAAGTAGCTGCACCTACAGGCGCGTGCTACCACACCCGGCTGATTTTTTATTTATTGTAAAGATGAGGTCTTGCCAAGTTGCCCAGGTGGGTCTCGAACCTGGGGTCTCAGGCAATCCACTCACCTCAGCCTCCCAAGGCGTGGGATTACAGACTGAGCCACTGAGCCCGGTTTATAGGTGATTTAAACAGTCAATTGTCAAACGCTTGTCCAGGAGGAGGTCTTCACTTGTCAAAGCAAGTTAGGAATCAAGGATGAGACTGTGTGTCTTTCATGAAGCTATATTTGTAGACTCTATTCTGGGATTGGTTCCTAATGAAGTTTTTCTTTTCTTTTTTTTTAAATGGTCTTTCTTTATGAGATGATCTTGACAGCAAGTGGAAGCTGTTTTACTTTTAAGTTCCATGTACAAAAAAGTTTGCAAGCCGGGCTCGGTGGCTCAGCCTGTAATCCCACGCCTTTGGGAGGCTGAGGTGAGTGGATTGCCTGAGCCCACGGGTTTGAGACCCACCTGGGCAACTTGGCGAGACCTTATCTCTACAATAAACCAAAAAAATTAGCCGGGAGTAGTAGTGTGCGCCTGTAGTTCCAGCTACTTGGAAGGCTGAGGAAGAAGGATCCAGAGCCCAGCAGGTTGAGGCTGCGGTGGCTGGGAGCGGGCACTGCACTCCAGTTTGGGCGACAGAGTGAGACTCCAACTCAAAAAAAAAAAAAAAATAAAAAATAAAATAAATTCCAAAAGCTTGGTGCTCCCTGCACTGCGTGGTGCTCTTGGTCCCTTATGGTTGCTGGTTTTGCCCGCAGACACAGGACCCAGGTGGCATTGCCACGCCTCCTTGCATTCCCCTCACCTCTCCCTGTCCTTTCCCCTAGTTTGGGATGAATGCACTTCTCCTGTCTGCCTGGTTTGGCCACTTGCGGATCCTCCAGATCCTGGTCAGCTCCGGGGCCAAGATCCACTGTGAGAACAAGGTAAGGCCTCACCCGGCAGCCCTGGTCCCCTCTGCCTCCCGCCCTAAATGCTCAGGTCTGCCCTCTCCTCTGCCCTCTGCCCCTGGTTGCCCCATCTGGCCCACCACCTGCCTCTGCCCGTCCCTCTTTCTCTTTTTTTCCCTTCCACCACCCTTCACTACTGGGTGATGTTGGGACAGTCCCTAGCCCTCTGGCCAGCCTCCTTGTGTACAAGAGAAGACCCAAAGTAGCACCTCAGGGGGTAGTTAGGAAGGTTGCATGAGAGGGAGGTGGGGCCTCCTCTGCCCCCCTCTTCCTCCCCGCCCCGTCTGAGCCCTGCCTCCCTTGGGGTCGGTGCCGGGGAGTGGAAAGAGCAGAACACCGTTTGCCAGCCCTGGGACCTTGGGGGAGCCACTTCTGGAGCCTCAGTTTTCCCCTGTGGAAATGGGGTTGCCGCTCTTCGCCTCGGAGCTGTGGGAGAGGCCAGGGCAGTGCTGTGTGTGAAGTGCCTGGCACATTAGGAACTCGGCACTCCCTCACTGCTCGTGGGTGAGTGCTGTGGGCCCCAGCAAGTCAGAGTGCCTGGCCTCACCTTTTGGGGTATCAGCGACCCTGAGGAAAATGCAAACAGTTCTGAGTCAGATGCCTTTACCCAGGTCTCCCCTGGGTTCTCCAAGAGAATTCAGGGCATCTATGAACATGGATTGGAAAAAAGTGCATGTTTATTTTCACTTACTTCTACTTGAAAATTTAGCATTTCTCTTGATTGTGAATGTAGGTAACATTAGTACCTGTGACACTATCGCTAATTGAAAATGTGGCTGTTTTCATATCACATTTTGCAGTTTTTTTTTTTTTTTTTTTT